GCCCGCGCCAGGTCCGAGATGAACAAATGGTCGGCTGCAGGGTCGCCCTTCAAAACCTCATCCATGCACGGGGTGACGGGCGGCCCCGGGTCGAGAACCCTCGACCACTCGTCTGGAGTTTTCATCGCCCTGCCCTCGCAGTTGAGCACGTATTGCTTCCCGGTTGGGTCGAGCACCGCCTCGACCGCCGGCGCGGCCGCGTCCGCTTCTGGGGTGTCAGCGCGGGATCTGACGCACTTCGCCACAGGGCTCGGCGCCTCGCCCCCGGCATAGGACAGACTGCTGGCCAGGGGCCCCTCGGCGGTCCAACGGCGGGCGCAGTGGGCCGAAGACGAGGGCGCCGTCTTGGCCCGGTGCAAACCTGCGGCAGCAGCAAGGCGCGCCGCGCCGCCGTGGCCCCACCGCGCTGCCCACGCGGCGGGCGGGGCGCATTGAGACCAGCAGTCGTGTCATTGGCGAGTTGCTCCGAACGACGCCTGTGAGCCAGCCTCCTCCTCGTAGAAATCGAGACTGACCCCGTGGTCGGCGGCGCCGGCTGAATGCGCGGCAACGGGAAGAGATCGCACTGGCGATCTGCCGAAGCCCAGAGAGAAGGAGCTTCTGCGGGGGCGGGCGTCGAGCGTCGAGGGGCGCGCCCGACGTCGGCCTGAAGGCAGCCGCGGGTCGGCCCACTCCCGCCGCGCGAGGCAGTCATTGCCCCGACCCCCCTGCATGGTCGGGGTCACCCTTGTCGCCGCCGCCCTTGGGACCGCGGCGCAGCTTCTGCTCCCCCCTTGCCTTCCTGGCCCCCTTGAGCACCGCGGCCTCGTCACGAAGGTTGGCCGCCGCGTGCTTCTGCAGCTGAGGCGCTGCCGCTGCTCCTCCGCGATGGGCCGCCCAGCCCATGTACTCGTCGGCCGCCGAATAGTCTGGCGCCGAGGGCGAAACCGCGCGGGCGTCCTCGACCACCTGCAGGCGGCGGCAGAGGAGCTCGGCGCTCTGCAGAGCGGGGGCGTCGAGCTGGTCAACGCTGATCATCGACTCGATCACCCTGCAGGAAATCTCGCGCTCGTGGATCGAGCGGCCCCCCTCGGGGACGCGGCCAGCCCTGAGCCAGGTCGCGCGGCGCGCGACGGGCGTGAGCCCAGCATCTCGCCGCGAGCGGAGCAGCCGGAGGCAGGAGGGCGGCCCGTCAAGCATGAGCCCGCCTTCAGGCTCGCCCCCCACCTGAAGGCCCACCGCCTCCGTGAAAGGGCGACGGCGTGAGCCCTCCTGGCTGAACTTCGTCGATTACGAACGCATCGATCTCGCCAGCGGGCACCAGCCTGGCCGTCACGAAACCCCCTGCGACGGGCACCAGCGTGGTCTCGCCCTCGATCACGCTGTTGGCGGGCAGCGGGTCTGGTACTTAGCCTCTCGCCACGCCTGGGCCCGCGAAGCTCCTCCGTGGCGAGCCAGAACGAGTGCGCGGCCACCGGGGCGGCGGCATGGGCACCCGTGCGGGCCACCGCGCCAACCTCCCCTCCCTGGCGCGGGGGCGGAACGGCGGGCTGAGGAGGAGCTCCAACTGGACCAGCGCCGCCTGCGGCTCCCGCAGCGACTGGCGCCGCTCCGCCCACCATCAGGGCGCCGTCGCGCTGGAGCTGCTCGAGCTCGACCGCGGTCGGCAACTGCCTGCAGCGGTACACCTGCCTGGGGTCGACGCCAGGCGGGGTAGAGCCCAGAGTCCCTGACCAGCGCACCTCCGCCACATCATCACAACGGGTATCCCCAGCACAATGATCTCCGTCGGCCGTCAGCGTCGAAACGAGCCTAGGGGTGGCCTCACTGACCGCGGTGGCCAGACGCTCGTGGAAGAGAGGCGGCCCTGGCAGATCGTATTTTCATCAGAATGTACTCACCCGGCCGCGCCATTGCGGAGCCTCAACAAAACCACCTGCTGCCGCGCACGGGCCTCGACCGACTCCACCTCCGTCGAGCCACGCCCCTGACGGTGAGCAGCTGAGGTGACCACCGCGCCTGCGACCGCGCCGAGGATGCCGAAGGACACCTTCTCAGCGGTCCCTGCTCGCCCCACCGCGGGGCCCGTCGGGGCCCGTCCCGCCCTCGCAGGGAGGGCAGGTCACGTTGACCAGCGGCGCCGTGCACACGGGCGCTGGGCAGACGGCCGCGGGACAGGAGATGTTCGCCGGCGGGCACGCCAGCGACACAGGAGGGCAGCTCGGCACCGCCGAGATCACCGCCTGGCGCAGCGCCGCCAGTTCCAGCCCGCGGATGGCAGCTGACTGGAGGGTCTGACGGGACGGGAGGGCAGGAAGCCCCATCGAAGAACTCCTGCCTCGAAACTTGAGCCCGACCGGGCAGCGGCGCTCTCCCACTGTCTAGATCATTCACGTGCAGGCACTAATTATAAGATCCTGGGGAACCTAAAGCTCTACCGGTCACCCTGGGGTCCCACACGCTGGCCCCCGTCCCAGACGCCGCAGACGCACTCGTTATTCCTTTTTCTATTTCTTTTTCTATCTCGTGTGTTTGGGATGCCTTTTTGGATCGATGTGTGATCGATTTCTTTTAAGTTTGGCCCACCAAACCCACAGGAATGCACCAAACTTGAACTTCTCTTGCCATTTCAATGCCATATTGGCTTCATGTTTGGACCCGCTTTTCGACCATGTTCACGACTCACTCGACCACTCATCGGCCGAAACTTCCCAACACCCGTCAAAACCCGCCGCAAGCCCGCCAAGACTTTGTAAACCCGCGCAAGAATAATATGTCATCGATTATGGGTCGATTGTTGAACGATTTGGGTTCGACATTTTCTCGCTTTAGGGCTGCGTTGAGTGGCCAATATTTTGCCATTTTCGACCTCCTGGGGATCCTTTCGGGTCCCAAAACTGTAAAACATCGAGCTGGGATGAACAGCCGGTCAGGATGGACCCAAGAAGAGGTTTGCGGAGCCGATTTTGACCGATTGAAAAAGCGTTACGGCTTGGTGCCGCCGACCTGCCAGCAACATAAATCAGACCACCGTCGTCGCCGTCGCCGTCGGCGGCGACGATGGCGACGACAACGATGACGACGTCGAGCTGCCGCTGCTGCGTCGTCGTCGTCGTTCAGGGTCGGCGGCGCAGGCCGTAAGGGCTCTCCATCATCCTCGATGATGCCAGTGGTCCTCTTCCGTCTCATCTTTCTCCTCCTGTGCCCACTCCCCCCTTCAATCACCCTGCTCCTGCGACAATTATTACATGTTCCTCCTGCTCATCATCACAACCACCACCATGATAGCATTACTCATCACCATGACACGCCAGCAGTCAGGCCTTAGCACACTAGCCCCGCGCCACATGCACGACGGACACACGCAACACTACCACCGCAAGCATGTGAATAGGCAGCTATCGTTCGGAAGAAATGGGGGTAGAAACATCAAGTAGGAATGCGTTGAAGCAAAACTTGGTTCTGGCCCGCCTCCTGACAGGGAAGGAAAAAAGGAACACCGTTCGACTCTTGAAGAAGGAATGCGCGAAAAGAGTATTGGAGAATGGACACCCACAAATACATACGTTGAACGAACGATGGGTAAGATCGTCGTGCTTGCACCGCTGGCAACGCCAATCAAAACTGTGCGCGCAACGATTCGCACAGTTAGCACAAAGCAGCATGACCAGTCAATTCAGCAGCACATGCGTACACAAGCACACATTTGTATACTCATAGCACCAGCAGAGCTCCGAGAACAACCACGACCAGAACCACCAACAATGTCTATGTCCTCTCGTATTCCCAATACTGTTCCTCATCTCCTCGTTGTATCTCCTCACCCTTCCAGGCATCATCATACTGAAAACAAGTATGTTCCGATGTCTTGTTCACTGCTGTGGGATGATGCGCAAGCCAACGTCGTCTCAAACACACCGAACAACTTCAAACATGAAAGGGTCTGGGCGTATCAGCCTACAATGCCGCAGTGACCTAACAACGGCATTTCCGGTAGTGGAAACCACCACAGCGACGAACACACGAGTCATGAACACGACAGAAAATAGAACACGCTTCGTGAGCAAGACACATGACTGTCGAACTCGCCTCCACGGACGTCGCTGCCACCACCATCGCTCACGACCCTGGAGATTGCCGCCAGCCCCTCCGCGCACACGCACTTATTCCTCCAGCGGCGAGGTGACGGCACCGTCGTGAGATGCTAAGCTGGGTCACGCTTACGCGAATTTCGACATGGCGTAACAGATGGGTGGACTGGGCGTGGCAGTCGCGTGCAGAAAAAAACGAGGCGTGCAAGCACGTTGAAAAGACCGACGCGGACATGCAGTGCAAGGGAATGCCAGCCCAAGAGCACACCCACACACACACACACACATTGCTGTTGACCTCCGATGGACCAGTGACTCCAACCCGCAGCCAAAAACAATGGCGGGGACGCCCGCTGAGCAAGTTGTGGCCACGCGCTTCAAGCATACCCCACTTCAAGTCGAACTTCCTCCGCACACACACACACACACACACACACACACGCACACTCCGTACCAGGTAGGGAGACGATGGCCGCACTGGCAGCAAACAGAACGAGAGTGAGCTGTGGTCGTCGCCGCTGCCCTGACCGTCACCCACTCAGTCCGCCGCAGCCACATCCTGTCACCAACTGGGGGTTCCCGAAACCATGAACCCACAACAATTGTCATCTCTTGGCGGGCCACCTTTTACTTCCGCCAGCCTCTGCCGGCCTTCCGCCAGCTTCGGCCCGCGGAGCCACCGCCGTTCGACTTCCGCCGGCTTCCGCCGACATTCCGCGGCCTTCCGTCGAGGCAGAGAGGCCAACCACTTCGATCCACGACGGCGCGGCCCTGTCTCGAGCACCCCACATGCCGCAACCAGACCCGCCACCACCACCGCCTGCCACCACCAGCACCACCGCCGCCGTCGTTCCCCCCGCTCCCGGCGATCGCGGCCACCCTCCCCTCGCCCTCGCTCTCTCGCCCCGCCGATGGCAGGGAAGCGGCGACCTGCTGAGGGTGGTGCGGGTCCAGGCACGCGGCGTGACACCGGGTCAGCTCGTGGCCTCGGCCAGGCTCGGCCTGGAGGGCCTGCGGGCCGGGGCTGGGCAGGGGGAGCTGCGCCCCGCTGGACTCGCCGCCGTCGGCCCCGCCCGCCCGCCCGACCTCTCCCTCTCTCTCTCTCTCTCGCCGCGCCGCCGACCTGCTCGCTCGCGCCCTGCCTGTGCCCTGCCCGTGCTCCTGCCCGTGCCCTGCCCCGCCGCCCCCCCCCGCGCCAACGCGTGCTTGTCCACCGCAGCCCTTCGATACGACGCAGGCGGCGTAATGGAGGAGGGCGGTTAAAAGAGTACCCCTTCCGTCCTGGGGGGGGGGCCTTCGTAGTCAAAATCTGGGGGAGCTGATTTTTGAATTGTGCGTCCTTCGGGACTGCAGGACGCCCACGCAGTACCACCCCCGCCGATATGCACTCCGCACTCCGCCGTCGTCGTCTCGTCCTTCGAGACTCCAGGACGCCCGCACAGCACCCCCCCCCATACGCCCTCCGCAGGCAGTCCGCCGCCGTCTTTACTGCAGTCTCGTCCTTCGGGAGTGCAGCACGCCCACGCAACACACACACACACACACACCCATGCCATCCGCAGTCCGCCGTCGTCGTCCGTCGTCGTCTTGTCCTTCGGAACTGCAGGACGCCCACGCAGCACCGTCCCAAGATGCCATTTGCAGTCCGCCGTTGGCGTCATCGTCGTCGCTGTCCGTCGTCGCCCCAAGACTGCAGGACGCCCGCGCAGCATCCCCCCCTACCCACATGCCATCCGCGCAGTCCGGCATCATCGTCCGTCGTCGTCTCGTCCTCCGGGGACTGCAGGACGTCCACGCAGCTCCCCCCCATCTGCTATCCGCAGTCCGCCGTCGTCGTCGTCGTCCGTCGTCGCCCCAGGATCGCCCGTCGGTCGTCACCCCCCCAGGGGCTGCAAGACACCCGCGCCAGGGGGCAGGGGGTGCCTTCGGTCCGGGGGCCAACCCGAATTGTCCGCCCTCCGTGAGACGAGCTCCTTGGCTCGCTATTATGTGGGCCACGGGGTTGGCGAAAATATATGATTCATTCGTATCACCCAAACTCTTCTCTCAATCGTCCAACAGCACTAGTGAGGGCCAGCACACGCTGCGTGCTATCGGTGGAGCGGAACGAGGTAAGCGCACATTGGGCTAACCCACGTCCTGAGGATCATCGATCCCGCCCCCTGCCGCCCCCTCGTTTGGGCGGCGCCGCCGCCTCCCTTCCCCCCCAATGTCCTCCTCATCCTTCTCCTCCGCATCCTCCTCCTCCTCCTCCTCTCCTCCTCCTCCGCCTCCTTCTCTTCCGCCTCCTACTCCTCCTCCTCCTCCTCTCCTCCTCCTCCGCCTCCTTCTCCTCCTCCTCCTCCTCCTGCTCCCCAGACTCTCTACGTCGTGTTTTTCAAAACCTCGACCCCCAAAAGCCTCGACCCATCCCCTGGGACCGGCTCTTCATCCTGAATCGTGTTGTTGACTGTCCCGAGGCACCGGTAAGGGCCCCCAGAGATTAGATTGAAGTTGCGAAAAACCGCCCGTCGCGTTTTTCACCAGTCTCGAGGGAGTCTGGGTCCTGTGAAGTAGCCCGGCTGAGCACACAGCGGCTCCAATCTGCGATCGGCATGGAAGCCGATTTGCGCCCACACAAAGCCCGGCCGTAGACGCCCCATGGTCTGCGTGGCCGTGTGCCACTCCTGCTCCTGCTCATCCTGCGCCCCCCGTCGCTGCTCCTCCTCCTGCTCCTCCTCCGCGGCACTCGGAAGCGCTCTGTCCAGCCCCCCTCGAGTCATGAAAGCATCACGACGGGAGGTTGTTCTAGGCTATCTTCAACATCTGGGGGGCCATTGCTAGGCCTCGGGTCCATCAAGCCTGATCTTGCCACGAACCCCGACCTTGAAATGCAGGTGGGGATGATTTGTGAGAGTGGCAGGGGCAAGGATGGATCTGCCTCTTGGGGGCTTGGTTTGCCGACGGGGAAGAGTTCCGACGAAGAGATACGCGTGAATCACGTTGATCCTGGGAGCTTTTTTGTTGAGTGTCTTGGAGGCTCGTGTGCTCTGTGGGGGACCCGTTGGGCTTCCAAACGCCTCGCGGCATGTGAGTTCAGGATGCGCAGAGCATGCGCGTTGTAGGGAGTCGCAGGGTCCTTTGATGCGCACCCCGGAAGTTTTTCGGGTGCATTCTGGGGCCACCTGGGAAGTTTTTCGGGTACATTTCGGGGCCTCTTGTGGGCGTCTGTGGGTGTTCTCGGAGCCTCTGCAAAGCTCCTAGGCCGTCTCTGGGCTCTCTCCCGCCATCTGGCGCTTTTGGAGGCTGTGCTGGTGGTGACTCTGGGTTGTCTTCGGGCATTCAGGGGGCATTTTACGTCCTTCATGGGGGCTTCGTTGGCCGTGTTTGGGCGGGTTTGTAGGGCCCTTGATTTTTGCGATTCTGTTGTGCCGTCTTGGGACCCTTTAACGGGCATTTGGGGTGGTCACGGGTTCTCTTGACCGCTGAGCGCACGCGGGCAAGACTTGCGAGACTCAATGGAATACGCGTGGAAGGGGGACGCATGCAGGGCGGCCCAGTGCGGTTCATGTGTTGTCCACTTCCCACTGGAGGCATGTTGGGGACTTCCTGAGGAGGTACAGGGCACACTGGGAGGAGAAAGACCGAGACAGCTCGGAAGCGAGACTGTGGAGGACGGTAACTAGGAACACGAAGGGGGAGGGGCAGAAGGATGGGCAGAGGGCGGAGGAGAAGGGCGTGGAGTTTCCTTCCAGAGCGACGACGGCGACGGTGACTTCGGAGATGTCTTCTTGGGGCTTCTTGAAAGCTTCTTGAGCCGTTGTGGGGGTCTCTCGGGGGCGAAGGGGAGGGAGGAAGGAAGGAGGGGAGACGGAGGGAGGAAGGGCGTTGGGAGGAGGCTGGCGATAGGGACGGCGATGAGGACCTCGAGCATGGAGGCGGGTGACGAGGACGACAATGACAGGACAACTCGTCGCTTGGGCCCCACCGCCGGCCGAAACGGCGTGCGAACGCATTACATCTGTTGGTTCCCGTGTTGTCCGCTGGACGCTGTAACGCTTTGTCGTTCGTGGCGTCTCCAGCCATCCTGAGGCCCTCGTGGGCAATCTTGGGGCCCTCATGGGGGCCCTCATGGGGGTCTCCTGGGGGGGGGGGCTTCTTGTGGCCTCTTGGGGGCCTCCTGGGGCTTCGTGGAGTCTCCCGGGTGCCTCTGTGTGCGGAAAGCTCGAAATGTCTTCTTGGGGTGTTCGTGGGGCCCTCTTGGGCCGTCTTCGAAACCTCTTGGGCCGTCTTGGGGGGCCTCTTGGGCCGTCTGGGCGCCCTTTCGGGGGCCTCTGCGGCCGTCTTGGGGCCGATCCGTGGGGGCTCTGGGGCCGTCCTGGGGCGTCGGGAAGCCGAAAAGGCGGGGACACGAACAACATAGGAAACCCACAGGAAGCACATATAAGTGTTGCCTTTCGGAGGCCTCTTGGAGGCCTTCTTGGAGGCCCCTTAGAAAATATTCGGGGCTTGGTGGGCCGTCAAGATGACATCCTGGACGGTCTGGACAGTCTGGACCGATCAATCGGCGACTCCTGGTCCTTTTGGGACCGCTCGAGACGCCCGGAAACGCGTCTGCAGGAGTCGTGCCGAACCTCTGGGTTTGCTTAGCCCACTGAACGACGGCGGCGAGAAGGAAGTGGTTTCCAAGTTGGGGTGCCCAGCACCAGGCGGACGTGGTGCAGGATCTGCTCTATGTACTCGTGTAGGTGAGCGGCACAGAGCTGCTTGTCTCAAGGTACGCCGAACGCTACGCACCAGGCAATGATTGCGATGGGGGCGTCAGCGCGCGAGGTGTGGAGCTTCCATCTGGGCAGCCACTCGCGCAACTGTCGTTCCCAGTCTTCGGGATGCTGTCGAACCCACTGTTTGATGAAGGCTGCGTCGAGATTGTCTGGCGACTGAGGCTCCGCCCGCAGACTGGCGGTTGCGTCGATGCTTTGGTCGTTTCGGAAAACTTTGAACGGAATGACGAGGGCTGCGTGCGCACCAGTCCTCGATCGTAACGTCGTGGCGGCCAGTCTGCTTTTTTGCGGGCTTCCAGGCGGACAGTCCACGCCGTAGCTGCTTTTCCCAAGTGGGAGGTGCCTTGTGGGCCCACGCTTGGATGAAGGCGCGGGCGAGAGGATAGGTGGCCACTGAGGCCAAGGCGTGTCGGGGGTGCCTGTCGACTGGGCGTGTGGTAGGGGCGTCGTAGATCGGTCTCTTAGGCGTTGTCGGTGAACCTCGTCGTAACTGTGAAGCGGAATGTGTAAGGCAACGCGCCAATCCTCGATGGAGGTGTCGTTTGGTTGTCGCCAGTGGGGCGCCATGGGGCACGCGGAGAGGGTCTGTCGCAATGTGGGCTCCCAATCTGCGCCGTGCTGTTGCGCCCATGCGCGTATGACGGTGGTATAGAGAGAGAGAGAGAGAGAGAGATTGGATAGCCATGCTTGCACGAGTAAACGAGCTGCCGTGAGATCCCGTTGTATGCATTCGGAGCGCAAGTCGTTGCGGCACCCTTTCCCGAGGGCGATGCACCAGTCTTCGATTGTGACGTCAAGGCTGCCGCGTCGCTACTTCTTTGCAGGGCTCCATGATTGCAAGTCCGATTCCAATATCGCATCCCAGGAATCTCTTTGAACCACGATCCACTTCGAAATGAAGTCGTGGTGAGAACGCGAGGCCACTCAGTCGGTGTGGTGTGCTTTGTCGGCGATCTTCGTGGAAGTAACCGCGCTGCTGTCAGGATGCGTTGCAGGCATTCGGAGTGCAAGCCAGGCCATTGCAGTACCCTGTGAAAGGCACTCCGAGGGCGATGCACCAATCTTCGACCGTGCTATCGGAGTTACTGCGTCGTCGCCTGTCTGAGGGCTCCATGCTTGCATGCCCGATTCAAGTGTCGCTTCCAATCCGACTCCTTCGGCCGCGATCCATGTGAAGATGAAGTCGGCGGTGAGGCGATGAGGCCATATTGTCGGGGTTGTGCGTTCTGTCGGCGAGCTTCGTGGATC